CCCGCCATCTTGACCGCCGCGACGACACGTAACGGAGCGATAGCCCTCATCGTCGTCTTCGTCTTCGTCGTCGTCGTTGCCGTCCTTCGCGCTGATCATCGACTCTATCGAAGACCGCCCGCTGATCGATCTCTCAAACTGCACGCTCCGCTTGGCGCCACTCTTCGTCATCGTCGGACTTGTTTTGTCATCACGATTACCATCAAGATGATAACCGTTCTCCTTGATGTCTTTTGAAATATCTTCCGTTTTTCTCTTGCCGATTTGGTACAGTAATTCGTCGTTGATCGCCGCGACCTCGTTGCTGTAATCGAAGGATGACTCGATCGGAGTTACCTCGTACTCGTGAAGCTCGTCGCTGCTCACCTCACTGCCTGTGGTGTTGCTCTCGTTGCTGGTGCAACTGTCAGTAGACGCATCGGCACTGACGTCAATGTTCGAACGATCCGCCTCCGATAAACACCGCTTATCTTCTTGCTTCTCGCAATCGTTCGTTATGACCGATCGCGCGATCTGCTCGCTATCGGAAACGTCAAGTTTGTCTCGATTATTGACGTCACTTTCTTCTTCGGGAGCTGAAATTTCGGAAGATACTCCAGGTATTTCGAGAGAATCCGGTACAATCGTCGGATCCCAGGCGTCGCTAGAAGGTGATTTTGGATTTTCGATCAGACCATCCTGTAAAATCTTTTTCGTATTAACAGCTTTGGAGATTTGTATTTTCGAAACAGGTATTTCGTTTATTTTCAAGACAGCTGCAGGCAGATCAATACTATCGGGATCGAGCATCCTAATAGATTTCAATTCAATTCGATTATCGGAACTATCATTATCATCTGCAAGATATAACTCTTCGGGGATCGATCGACGTTGTAGTAGAAGAGGAAGTCGTTTATCATCGTCACTTCCGGTCTTCTTATTGCGACTTCTTCGTTTATCAATCAAATTAGCGGCAGGTTTATCCAATAATTTATCATCGCTTTTAGGCTGATCATTGCCGACGATGTAAGCCTTGATACGCCTTTTAGATTCTTCCAGTTCGTTCTCGTTTGTTCCCCGTTCATTCTCCGTGAGACCATCTTCGTTCAATAGCCTCACGTGTTGCAACACCACCGGTTCTTCTTCAGGAATTGCAGTGACGCGTTTCAAGGTCACGCCGCCTTCCGCCGCGGAATCCGAATCATCCTCTTCATTGTCCTCGACGTCGTTGTCGCTGGTGAGCGAGTCATCGTTCACTACAAACACCTTGCAGAATCTGTGTGAGCCGGAATCGTCTTCCAGATCGCTGCTGTCCGCCGAAGATCTCCCGGACGAGCTGCCCGAATCCTCTCGACTGTGCTGATACATTCCTTGCGCACTACTTTCGAAGGATGACGATAACGAATCTTCACAAGTTGCTCCTTCGCTTTCTTTCGTCTCTTTTTCACCTTTCTTGCATTCCGCTTCGATATTCTTCGTTTCTTCTGATTTCTTTCTATTTTTTGTAATGGAGGAATCAGATTCGCTGACGTCCTTCGCCGACAAATTCTCCTCCTTTCTGAGTTCCTCAGTTTTCGGCGCGATATTTACTTCGTCTCTCACATCTTGACCTATTTGAGAAGGCTCGAGATTCGAGGTTGTTATCGTCTCAGTTATTGAACCGTACAGTCTCGGGGTTAACACTTGATCAGGCGGGTGGAAGGTGCAGGTGGCTGGATCGAAGGCGCCGGCGAGTCGGGGGTCCAGACGCGCGCCATGAAGCGGTTGGTTGAATCGAGGATGCCACGCAAACCAAGGTGCCGCTGGGTCACCTCGTAACCTCAGTGTTCCCGGCTCGGCGTGACCGTCGCTGCGACTTATCATGGATGACGCAGCCGCTGCAAAATCACCGGTCCACAGGGCGGCCGGTACTGGCACCGGATACGGGACTGGAACCGGTATAGGTACCGGCACCGGAAGCACGTTCGCGCTTCGGGAACCGCCGCAGGCCTAGATAGAACGATAGGATAATGGCTCGCGACATTTCTTTATCTTGAAATGAGTTATTTTTCTCTGTCTTTCATTTTTCTCAAAATTTCGTGATTTAGCTTTCTTTCATTGAATAAATACATTTTTGTCTCTACATTCAATTTAATTTAGAATTGATTTTATTTTATTCGTTTCTTATAGTTAATTTCTTCTTGTTGGTTTTCATTTATTATATATCTTATTTTCCTTAAAGGAAATAAAAGAATATATAAATTTTTATATATACAAAATGATAGATATATTTTATGTCATTAATATTTAAAATTAATTAATTTGAAATAACACATTGTGAGAGAATGTTACAATGTTAGAAGAGAAAAATTCTATTTTATTTCTAATTTTGTATTTAAATAAAAATGTGGATGAATTTATAGATTGCCTTCTGATGTTATTAAAATTTTAATTAACTGAAATTTTAAGATATAGCAAATTTTTTGTTTTCCATGAATATGTTCCACTTATAATACATATAATAGAGAAATGGGTTAACAACTCGAAAGCTGACAGTGACAATTCAGAACGAAGTGCTTATCGATCGGTGTAATCAATGTGAGGCGTCGCTCGATATACGAATGCGCGAGTACATTTTATTGACAAAGTATGGCCGTGAATTCCGCATAGTTGCCGTGCGACTCTCTTCGCTAGTAGAACGTGAATGATTAATTTAGCTGCGGCAATGTGTTTGTCAAACGGATGCACAGCCAGCGGCACCCAGTCGCGGTCACATGACTTGTGTTCATGTCCATGGAAAACTGTTCTCATCGCGCGTAACATTGTCTTTTTACTCAATTTATTCATGAAATTGTTTTGTGAGCAAATTGTGAACAAAAAAATCGGTTTTAACGCACGTTTTGTATTAAGCTGAATAAATAAATTTACTAAAAATTAATTAAAGGTAGCTGCTATAAAACGCTGATTACAAATCACATATAATACGCTCAAAAGAATTAAAAAATTAGACTTATTTTTGAGGCTTTAATATTGAATGTTTCGTGAACCTTATAAAAGATAAGATATAACGGAAATTATAGTCCTTCCTTCTCTCAAGCTCATTTAATAAAAATTAATACATCAAACATTTGTATTAATTTAATATTTGAATTCTTTTAAGCGTATCATATGTTAATAATGCGAGGATATGTGTACCTGGCAGGCAGCGGAACCGCGTCCCGGGCAGCAACTCCAAACGTCCTGACCGATGATGTCCGCCGTGCCGGTGACGTTGACACCGGCGCCGACGGTGATAATCGGCGTCGTTGGCAACGGCAGGGAGCCGCTTTCGAAGTAGTCCCAGTCGCAGTCCTCGAGCGACTGCGCGTGATGGTGATGGTGACCGCCGTTGCGCGGCAGTCCGTTCAGGTAGGACGAGCTTGAGCAACTGCTATCGGCATCGTCCTCCTCGCGACCCGACGATGAGTCCGAGCTGATGAACACCAGCCGCCTGTAGTCCACCACGGACGCTGGCTGATCCTGACCTGGGCCACCTGTCGCGGGATTAGGACTGCGCTGCCGACTGCTTCCACCCCCGCGTCCAATCAGGTTCAACGTCTGCAGGCTCTGCAGATCCTCGCCGCCGCAGCAAGATCTCGCGTGCGATCTTCCACGTCGCCGTGAACCTTTTTTTTTAACAATTTCGTTCACTCGTTTATGTCGGCTGATTCAGCAAAAAGAGCGATAAGATTGTAGGAGTAGATAAAAGACGGAATTTTCCATTAAATTGGATTTATCGACTCAATCGAAATGTTGGTAGCCGTTATCATTCTCATCGATTACAAGTTCTTAATGTTCCGGGAGTTCAAATTAAAAACAACATAAATTAATCTTATAGAATCATACTTAATTAAGTTTCACTTTATAATATTGATTCTTTCTAATTAGATCATTAATTTTTCAAGACTTTATAATTTATATCTATTAAATAGAAAAATAATTCATTATTCTAATAATTATCTGTTAAGTTTATAACTCATTAAAATCGAAGAAAAAAATATTTAATTCATTAATTAGTATATAAAAACACGAATATTTTTGCAATAACTTTATTAGGCGAATTATTTATTTGGGTTTAATAAAAATATATAGCTCTCGTGAATTAGAGGAGATATTAACAAAAGAGCAATTGTTGAAATCAAAGAAATGTGAATTAATCGATAAAAAAAAATAGATTGTTGCAAATTTTCTCGGAAACATGATCTTAAAAGTTAGAAAAATTTAAGAAATATGAAAGCGATAATTTCGAAGCAGCCTGTAGAGCAGTAGCGAACTAAGCACGAGTATGATACGAAACCGCGTTATAGCGATCCAATAAAGAATTGAAAGAGTTGGCAGCGAAACGGGGCTGCACTATAACGGAGTACATCCCTTGCATAGTCACACTTGCGGCAGTGGACAAATTACGACGCTGTTAGAAGCAACCGGTTGAACATGCGCAAAAGCTCGCGCTAATGTTCCCCAGCTTGAAAGTAACTTGTGAATGTTATGAGCGTATTCACTCGCACACGGCGCTAACGAACCATTGGTAAATTCCGACTTTTAACGATTACAATCCTGAAATGCGACAGCGCGCTCGTTCATAGGCTCGCTCGTTTGATTTAATTAATCGGTCGTGGAGAAATTGGTGGTCAAGAATTCTCAGCGTATATAGAGACATTCCTTTAAAATCTTAATATTTTATAATAACATACTTTGTATATATTTTAGTTTCGTTATGTTTTTATTAAAATTTAACTGTGTTTTATCTTATTATACTGCTATGTAATATATAATAAATAATATTATAATCACACAAAGAGAACTAACAATTTATCTCACTAAAATCGAAGATCGTAAATGTTCTCTCTTCGGGATTATCTGTTCAATTGGACATAATTTTCCATTTGTTTTAATTAAATGATGCAACGTACATATCGACGCATAGAGGAAGAAAAATATACTCGACTGTTTGCGATGTACTAACAGTAATGACGATAGGAAAGTGGTATGATAATGAGCAGCGTAATGCATCGCGTGTACGAGTGACTCTATGTACTTCGTTACTTCGCTCACGCGTGCGTCAGCGACACACGTAGGAGGATCGGATTTATATCTATTGTGCGGCCCGAAACAATGCACTTTTAGCGCGCGATGCGCCGACGGAACAACGCGGCGTCTAAATCTCTCCTTGGTCACGTCACACCGCCTTGGTTCTAACCGTCCCCCTTGGTACCTCTCCGCCATGTTGGTACGCGCGCGAGATAAATTACATCCTTCGTGAGCGCGCGAGTCCGCTTCACAACTGCCTCCGTAAACGATTGCGAAATCTCGGCGGTGCTTCTTCGCGAGAAACTCGGATCCTCCTAAAAACGTTTCTAAAATCCCTTCTTCTGATTTTTTTAATGTTCCAAAATTTCTCTCTATCTCTTTCTCTCTTTCAGTGAAAGAGAAGAGTATCATTTTTGTTTGCTATGTAGTAAGAATTTACTGTATAAGTAAAGAGCACACTGAGATGAAGTACCAAAGCTAGATTTTACTAGTTTCTTAATTTGTCAATTTCTTCTTTATTTGTTCCTTAAATCAGATTTATTTTTCGACATCTCTTTCTCTCTCTTTCTCTGCTATTAAGTTCTCAATTTCACTACTGATTTGTTCTAAATTACTTCTTGTGCCCAGGTACAATAAGAAAAAAACGGGGCACGGTCAAGTGTCGTGACGGCTTATCGTGAATGGGGTACGCGAGAGAAGAATCGGGGCCTGCTCCGTTGGTGCGCTTTGTGCCTGCTTTTTACGCGCCGCTGAATTACCTGGTCAATGGCACGAGGGGGGGCCCATCGTTTCTGACCGCGTGTATGATTTTCCGCGGGGCCCCCTCGCGCCATCAACCGGACCTTCCTGACTTCTCGTGAATGGCGCTGCGAGAAAGAGATGAGAAGATAGAGAAAAGAGAGCTAAATGAAATAGTCCGGATGAAAGAGAGATTTCTGAGTTCCAATTTGAAATGAGAATGGCGAAAATCGCGAATATGAGCTTTTAACGATGATAAGAATTGAATGGTTTAGGCAAAACAAAATGGAGATAGATCCATAATTTTTTAATAAATATCTTAATAATTGATAAAATTTTTAATTTTTTAATAAATAGATATTAAAAATAAACTTTAATTGTATATAATTTTATATATGCAAAACGAGGCTTGACCTCATTTTTACGAAGTCTGCAATTGTCAACGCTAGAGTTAGATAATTCCGTAATTCGTAAGATCTACTTTGAATATGTAGTTGTACCTACATATAAACCTTACAAATTATGAGCCTTACCTCATACTTGCGCTGAAGTCTACAATTGTCAGTACTAAACTGAGGTAACTCTATAATTTATATGATTCATTTTAAATATGAAGTAATGTTTTAGTTATAGACATGAAAGTTTAGAAACATGAAATGAGACTATTGAAATACTAAGCAGTAGAATATAACAACAGCATTAATTTTGAGAAGTTAAAATTTTCTATCTGAAAGAGAAATTGACATTTCTTTTCCATGAAATAAAAATTTTGTTAATGGCAAAGATAACTCCGATAAAATTTTGTTTAAATTTTGAGACAGCTAAATTCAATCTTTTAATTACTTATTGAAAAGACATAAAATAAATTTTTGAAATATTTTTTATACACATTTGCAATTGTATTTATATTCGCGATATATATTCCATGGAATAATAATTTTATGAAAATAGAATGCGACAAGGAGAAACTGTTAGTACAATAAACTTTCTAACACATAATATTATGTATGTAATTAATTATTTCGCATTAAATATATTTATTTATAATTATTTCTTCTTGAATTTTACAATTAAATTGAAATTTATATTTCATTCATGAATCTAAACTAATGATTTCAATTTCGATTTAATCTTATCTAATCTTATCGAATTTTTTGCAAATTAAATGTCGCGATAAAAAGTCTATGATCGATTTTTCTTTCGCGAACATTCAAAGCGTGATCGTGCGGTAATTGTTCGCGAAAAAGCGACACCAAATTCGTCAAATAAAACGTTCCCTGACTTTCGTGAAAACCTCACAAAACGCTTTGTCGAAGATTTTTGAAACTGTCTGTCAATGCTCCAAAGTATGACGTCAACGGTGCCTTGGCAAACAACTTGGGGTTCTACCTCAGATTTTTCGACTATTTGATCTTTACGCCGTTCTCGACAATGGTTTGGCTGTCATCGCATATATATAATACATAAAGACACATACACACATTGTAGATATGCAAAATGGATACAAAACTACACACTTTGTAGAAACCTAAGAAATTTTTCAGAAAGAGAGCCAAGATACAAATCTAAGAGATTTTTCAAAGAATTTATAATTTTTTACTAATTTCTTTCACTGAAAGGAAAACGCGATTGTGTTTGTGATTTGGAATTATATCAAGCGGCTCTTTCTGAAAAATTTCTTAGGTTTCTATGGGACTAGCGTATGTGTACGTGATTTGGAATTATATCAAAGATATATATTCTGAAATGCATGAAAAGTTACGTGCAGGAAGCTCCTTGTCGATATTATTTCGAAGCGAAATATATTATATTTTCAATGAAACCACACTTTTTTTTAAGAAATATATTTTCTTCAATATTCAGAAAAAACTCACTTTTACATATTAACGAAGATATATGTACCTTCTCGATCCCTTTTATCGAATTATATTGTTTCTTTCATTGATCATCCGGGAATGTATGAAAAGCGGCTTGAGAAGGTTCGAAACGTTCTTGGCTGCCACTTTCGAGCGTCGGAAAAAAATCGCAGAGACCGGCAACGCGGTAGGGGGATCGATTCTCTTTTCTCGTCGCGAAATAAAGGCGGCTTTGGTCGCCACGCCAACTCGAAGAAGGCGAGGCGAGCGATTCGCGTGGGCTACCGCCGCTAAACTGAGAGCGTCTACGCCGAGGGGCACACCTGAATCCCGCGCAGCGTCGGTCACTACCTTACTACGACGCCTATAGTACCCCGGATGCTATAGTGCATTGCGCCATGCTATATCGGGTGGCCAGCTCGATAAAATAATCCGCCGACCTCCGTGCCCTTTTTCCTGCTTGCAACTCTATCTCAACTGAAAAAAACTTGGCAGCTCAACGACCGGAAACGGCGAAGATATCTTGTATAGATACTAAAGCGCGTGGGGTCCAAAAGATTCGCCTTCGAGAAGACCATGAACGAAAACTAACTGAAGATCTTATTGTTAGAGCATATATTGATTTCATATGTAGAGCAACAATTTATTTTAAAAGAGCAACTATATAGAGCAAATATCCATCGTACTTTTTTCTGGTCGTTGATATCGATCGCAACTAGTATGCCAAAAGAAGATCCTTGAGATAGAAATTGCGTAGGTCGTGATTTTTTTTTATAACACCGGCACAGTTACGCAATTATCACGTTTTCGAAGTCCCAGCCGTGCGCTTCATTATTCGCCACGCTCGCTCGTCGAGCGGCGATTTCGCGACACCCCGTATATTCGCGTCGCAGGTGAGCGGACTATAGAGTGCCAGCAGGGAACGTTGTTACACTATTATTCCTATGCTGTTTCCCTGGGCCCCGCTTCGCTGCGCCTCACCTGCTGCCCACCGCTACGTTCGCTTGCCGCCGCGCCACGTACGGATGATTCCGTGCCAAAACGATCATACTCGGGCAAGAATGGACGGTAAAGATGAGCAGATATGAATTTTATTCGGAATCTGGGAGAATCTTGAGATTCATGCGAGCGAACTATAGTTCAAAACGTGGCGATAATAAGCTACCATAAATTTGAAACGTAACGATCCTGAGAAGGTAACAATGAGAGAATTAGCGGAAAGGGTACGGGTGCCGGACGAGGTTGAGGAATATGGCTAAAGTGAGGCTTAATATACATACACTTAAGTGAATGAAAAATTTGAAATGCTAATTTACGGTAGCTTGCTAGAGTATTATATTTAAATAAGTTGAGCGTACCTTTTGTCTATTTTTTGCCTCATTCTCGAAAAAAATATTTTTATAAAAATTTGAAGAAGCATCGTCACATTTTGATATCGGTAAAAGCTAATCGCTTCTCAGCCACAGCAAGTACAAAATCACGACAATTCCGGCGTAGAAAATGAGAAAGTACATCGACAATAGAAACGTGATTGACAGTTGGACTATTCTTAGTAAATTCATGTTTGCAGAGGGCACACACTTCGAGACAAACCACGAGCAGCGAGAATTACAAAATAAAACGATCGATCTGGTGAGTCATTCGATTCGCGCTCGGCTCGGATTTTACGATCGCGCTTCGATATCGTGCGAAATCGCGGGCGTGTTTGGATCACGAAGACCGACGTTGATTCGGAATATGCACGTCAAGCGTTTTATGCACTATTAAACGTTGAATGCATTCTTTTCACATTCCATCGACTCTCTCGGCGTCGGACGAAATACGAGATTACGAATAATTGCCTTTTTTTTTAATTTTCCCGCTTGAAACGCGATGCTTATCGGAAATAGGAAAACGAAACGGAGATCGGAAACAATGACGGGAAAAGATTGCGGTAACGTCGGGCGAAAATTGTCAATTTTTCTCAAGACGTTGTTGAGTACAAGATCAATCAGCAAAGTTTTTCTTAAAATAAACGATAAAAATCAATTGGACCGTTTCTTCTCGATGTTATATTGATTATTCTTCTCTCAGTTACTATTATTTTTCTTTCGTTAGCGTGTTCACGATGCTGCGTTAATTACAGTATAATTTTATGAACCATTGTATTCCGTACTTTCTACGTAATTTCAGCTAGATACGATTTTACTATCGCGGGACACTTGGGCCCAATATCGGGTTTATCGTCTCACGGTTCGAACGCGTCGTTTAACTTTCGAAACGTCAATGATCCCGCACGGTTTTCTTGGAGAACACTAGCCGCTTTCGAACTAGAAGTTTACCCAGGGGCTTCGATAATCGATGAGCTTATCGTTACCAGTGGCCATATGGCGCACTTTATGCATATAGATATATTGCGATATATCTATGTAATGAGCGGAGTATAATGGGTAAATATATAAATGAAAAAGAGTATTTCTATAATACTCCAAATTTAATAAGTAAAAGTCTAGATAAGAATTTTTATCCGAATAAAAAATTAATCTCATATTGTATATGGCAAATTTCATCAATATTAATGAATCTAAACATCTGCTATACATTTTACAGTACAGTAAAATAAAGTTAAAAAAGGTTTGTTAATAAAATCAAGAAAAGTTTGTTAATTAATAGAAAGAAGGAAAATCTCGCCATTTTTCGTGATCGATTACGAGCGATTGTCACAATAAGAATGAAAACACACATCGGGAATTTAATTGGGAGTCGCTTGAGCACGCGGTTCGGCAATTACGGCAATTATCGGCGGTCAATATGCAGCTAGGCGATCGCGAAAGCGAAACGATACTCGATTACCATACGATAACTGCGCGGTTCGTTATTATTAATTACGGCTGCGCTTTTTAAAAATGCACATAGCTTAGAGAAAACAAACAAAACTAAAACTCTTTCAGTTAACAGCGAAGAAAATTACATTTGTATAATTAAACGACTGTGAAAAAGAGAGTTTTAATAAATTCTCTTCGAATTAAGATTTCCTTAATCCGTTTAAATAATTATTTAAATAAATAAATGTTTAATTTTTCTATGAGATTACTGTTGTAATTGTAATTGAGAAAATTATATGTACAGTTCAATAATTTTATAATTGTAATCACCTTGAGCGTCGAACTGCCTCCTTCGTCGCAGCATCGTCCTTCCTTGCGAAGGAATTGGACCTGCTCTGTCGTGGCCATCCTCGTTGATTTCATCCTCGCCTGCGCTGGTTGCACTGTCGCGTTGCACAACTTCGTCGCCACCGATCATCGACGAAACCGCGCCACTGCCGTTTCCTCCGAAGAACTTTACTTTTCTAGCCAGTTCCGCGTATCCGTGCAAACCGGTCTCGCTTAATCTGCATGGTAAACATAAAGCAAAACTGCAATGTCTGATTTCGGAGATTTTTGCATTTTGAAAATATAATTTTACATTTTATATTTCTAAAATTAATATAATTTTTTTACTGTGAAAATTGAATATCTTTCTTAAAAAATTGAAACAAAAATACGCATATAATATTAAAGGCACTTTTGCAAAATGCATGAATAGACGCACCTGACGCCCTCGCTGCCGCTACTCTCATATCTAGTGCTACTGTTGGACTCTCTTCTGGTCCTCGTAATAGCGTCGCGTATCCTCTGGGAGGCGGAACAGGAGTCTCCTCCGGTTTTACGTGGTAATGCAGGAGTGGGTTCGCTCTCGCTCTCCCGAGGACTGTATCTCGACGATCTTGTGCTCAGTGGACTGGCTTCCGGCGATAGATGCTATTAACAAAACAAGAATTCAGTTAAAAGCAATTTTTTGCCAAATTTCGGGCGCTTCAAAGCCTGAAGTGTGTAATAATATTAGTAGCAGTAATGTAAAACGTATTATAACAAACAATTTGCAATTTGATTTTAGTGCAATTTAATTATTAATTAATTTACGTTTCAGGATTACATTTTAAATGTATCAATTATTATTATATCTGTCATAATTTAAAATATCAAAAAATGTTTTACTGAAAATTCTTTGAGCGAGTTAAATGGAATTTATTACGATTAATATTGAATTTGCATAATGCAATTAACTCTTACGCTTGAACAACGCTTATTCGGAGTGTCGTCGGTGTCGTCCGGATTCGAGAATTCTTCTTTGGAGAACTTTCGCCGTACCTGCTTAAAGAACAATATGCGTGTAACAGTATCGTAATTAGACATATTAAGCAACTCGATAGTCATGAATACTAATAGATAAATAATGAAATCAAGTGCGTATGAGAGCCTTCCCTCTTTTTATAGATGGTTCATAAATATGTAATCAGCACTTTCATGAAAGGGACTGCCGATTTCTAGGAATTATTAATTATTATATTTCATCATTGCGATGAATCATTTCCAAGCGATAAAATAATAGTTTTATCCTTTACTTTTTACATCTTAGATGCTGGGAATCGCCTTTTGTCTTTAAAAATAAAATTAAACATGTAGATTAAAAAAAAACTGTCTATAAAGAAAAAATATTTTATTTGCTAAAGTAGAATAAATTTTCAATAAAAGTTAAGATTTGTGTAAAAAAGTCAGAAAAGAAATTTATATCCGCTATAATTTGACAATAAATACGGTTTTTTATTAGATTTCTTATATCGGATTAATGAAAGTGAAAGTAAAAGGTGAAATATCACGAATATATTTAATTCAAGAGAAAAAAAGGCTCATGTTTCGCAAAGGATGTCGGTAACACCGTCACACATACACGCATACACACACGCGCACGCAGATACGCCCGCGTGTATTGCGCCCACATGTCACAAACAACAATACACAAACATATTCACTGACCACTTGGAATTCGTCCGGCCTCTTTCCATAACCGATCTCCAGCGAGCCCTTTCTTTCACCGGCGATTCCAGTGACGTCACCGTCGCTGCCGGCATCCAACAACTGTTCGGCGGTGTCCCGCGTCTCCTCCTCATCGTTGTCCTGCCCCTCGTCGTTCACCGCGACGGTTTCGATCGGTTCTCGGGTCGCCAGCAAATGCTTCTCGTCTATCGCCTCGTTGCCCAAGACCATCGTGTCCTGCTTCCGCATCCGCTCGTCCTGCGTCCTGTTCTCCGCGATGATCACGTCGATCATCCTCGCGTCCTGGTGTTCCGCATCGGCCTTCTCGTCCGGTCGCGCGTCCAGTACTGTTGAGTCCGGCTCGTTCGAGGCGATCGCCTCCTCTCTCCTCGACGACGATCCTTCGGCGTCGTTGGCGTTGTCCTTGCCGTCTTCGCACCTCGTCCTGCTCTGTTCGCCGGTGGCTTTCAATCTCGCCGCACCGCCCACAACCTCCGCTCTTTCTTGCTTCTCCTGTTGCTTTCCTTTCGCGGATTCCTTGATCGAATTCGCGCCGTCCCTGCCCACGTCCTCGCGACTGTTGTCACGACGAAAGATCCGTATTCCCGACTTGCAGAATTCGTCCTTGCTGGCTGACGTTGGTGAAATGACAGGCGACTTGCCCTCTTCCCTAAAGTCCTTTCGCGCGGATCTCGATAAGTGACGGATGTCGTCTTTGCTGTCTTGCCGCTTCAATCGCTCCTCCTTGCTGCGGGGGGATAGCAGCTTCGGAATCAAGCTCGGCACGCTTATGTCCTCGCGACTGCGACGCAGATCATCAGTGCTTCCTCTGTATCTGCAAATTAATAGTAGAGATTAATAATAATACATACAAATTATTATTAAGATATCAAAATATGTACTTAATTACTGAATTATTTATATTAAGATTTTTTTGTTTATAATTTATAATTAATATTTTTACAATTATATCTATTACTATCGTGAGAGAAAGAGAGAGAGTGTGTATACTATTACTGTCGTGAATTCAAAGACACATGGCTTTCAATATTATATAAAGTAATGAATATAAGATTCATTTTAAGAATAAATTCTTTGGTGAAATCACATTCATTATTCATAAAAGAGAAAGAAAGAAGTACCTTTGAGGAATGAGCGATCGCTTGGGTGACTCTTGTGGGCTCCGGATATCCTCGAATTCCTTGGAGCTCCTTTTAAAAATCGGAATATTCGATTTCCTCTCGCCATGCTTCGTCGGACTCGGTTTCGTCTCGGGTGATATGAACTTCGCGAGGATCCTCGGCGGTTTTATAAGCGATATCCTCGGCGTGCTCTGCTCCTGCACGGGATCCTCCTGCTCTTTACCCGAGCGCTCGCTCCTCTTATTAAGTTTCGTAGTATCCAGTGATGGCACTTCGTCCTCCGATTTAACGGTTGGCTTCTCTCGCTTCGTTCGTTCGTTAATCGATGCGCTTGTCTCGATCGCTTCGATCACATCTCTGCAGTTGTCACCGGCATCCTCGGCGCAGTCCTTCACGTCCAAACTGCCGTCCCGCGCATTCTCAGGCTTCGATAGCGCTCTGTCGAAGTTCAGCTCCTCCAACGGATCTCGATAATCCTGATGGCGAGACGGCAGGCTGCGATATATTCGCAATTCCGGGGACTTTCGCGCAGCCAACCAACGTGTTGGAGGACCTTTCGAGAAAATAATTTATATCGTGAATTCGCTGTCATGCAAAACGGGACGGAGGCAATCGTGACTGAGCTTCGACGGGGGAAACGAGTAGGAAATCAACATGTAAATTACTATAATTGTGACATAAATTCTCTTCGGTAATATTTAGCTTTCGCTGTCTGTTAAGGACGAATTTTCTTTCCTTTTCCTCGAACTTTCTACCGAGTCGTCGTCAACGGAAGATTAATTATCGGTACGCACCATTAATCGTCCAAGCTCGTCGGATGCTGCGATTCAGTATGTCCACCGGGATCTGCGCTGTTTTCTCGCTGACGGGTCCGCTGGAAATCGGACTTTCGTACATCCATTTGCCGGTAACGACGTGTAATTCTCTGCAAATTGAACGGGTTCGAATTTATGTCAGCGCACGAAGAAACGCGCGGGAGACAAAGAATCGCGCGATACGTAAGAGGCGTACCCTACATTTTCGACCTGAATTTGAACATCACTAAGGTTTTACATACTTCATTTGCTCATTATTTTTGTCTCCATGATTTTATTCTATTTACATTAATTAGAGAAAATATTTGTATGAAACTTGTTAGTAAAAAATTTTATGAAATAATAATATACCTATATTACACGAAAATCAACGAGATGTTATTTTTTTTATTTCGGGGAGGTATATTTAAGTATTACATTTTTATTAGAATATTCTACTCGTATTCTTCTTATATTTGCGATAAATGAATGCGTGCAACGTATTACTTTTATTACAATTATTATTAAATAATAAATAAAACTGATATTCAATGTTCGGTCTTCCGCAAAAATGTCTCGCAAAGAGGCGAACTACGAGAACTTTCAGGCGTAGCACTTACGCGATCTTGTAGCAAACGTTGCAGATCCACTCGACTTCTTTGTCACCTCCTGCGTGGTTCCTGATCTCGATGCGACACTGCCGGCACACGCGGTGTCTGCAGCGCGCGCAAGTCGCGCCGGTGTTGTAAAATCTACCAAACGACGCGCCGCATCGTGCGCATTTGCGTCCTTGATGCGATAGTTCGCCGCCGCCGCCGCCGCCGCTGCCGCCGGACGCCTTGAGCAGCCCCCTTCTTCTCAGGTACTGTAGATCAGCCTTCAGCCTCCTGCGAACACAAAGCCGGATGCAGGAGATCCCGCGGTACCTTCGTCGGCCTGCCGCGCCGAACTTCGCAACTTCGCGGAGAACGTCGCGACCGCGTCTGTACGTGGAGCAGACGCGCCAATAAAGGCTCGGCTGAGAAAGAGAGAGAGAGAGAGAGAGAAGGAGCCTTTTAGAGAGAATGTTCAAGTAACGCAATTGTTGCGCTAAATCAGCTATAAATGAACGTACCGTTTCTTTCATTGCGCTTGCCAATTGTTATTTCACGTTGTTTTTATCTTATATCGCGCATCATAAATCTTCCGACAGACTAGCTCAATTACACCTCTTGATTGATCCGGAGAATAAAAACAAAAGGGATCGAGCATACCGAAACGCTATTTATTCAAGCGTTAACTATCCTCTCGGGCGTCGGATTTTACGCGGCCAAGTGCGACGCGTGATTTTATCGTCTATACACGTAGTTACGCTTAATTATTGTTTGCTCCCAGCCGAGAGAGCGCGGGTAATTAACGGCCGCTCGCGCGTCGTTCATTGCACATATATATATGTACATATATATACACACATCTTTGTGTCGGCGAGCGCGCGATTATTCATCGAACGGCAGAAACGAATGAGTTTACGAGTCGTGGATATATCTCGATCACCGGTGATCTCCCACCGTCGTGTCGCCGCCGCTGCCGCCGCGCCGTCGTCGCGGCGCGCGACTTAATGGCCAAGACTTACTCACGCAACTGACGCACGTGACGCGCCGTGTTCTCCTCTAGCCATGAACAACCGTTTCATCACACTCGAGCGACCGCAAAAATCGCGCGCCGCCAGATTTTCTTCCTCGTTGAACCGGCGCGCGAACGAGCGCGCCGTGTTAATTACGGCATTAGTGAATTTTTTGCCTCCCGGGATACACGCGCGGAGATACGTGCGCGATCGGCCCGCGGGAACGGGTCGATCGTCAATCGCTTCATTCGGTCTCTTAAATATATCTACACTGAGAAAAAAAATTTATTGAAAAACGCAAAATTTATTTCATCTTGCCAAATTATTTAGTCCGATACGATCAACTAAACGTTACTACGATGGCACAAAGTAATTTGTTACTGTTATAAGCAAAATACTATTTTTTAACTAAATTATTTTGTTTTATCAAAAATTTATCGTATTTAACTCCAAGCGTTCGATTAAAAATACACACTATTTATTATCCCCATCAGCATCATTTAGTCAGTTATAATATTTGGGATTTGAACAAATATTTTACTTGGATAACTAAATAGCATACAAACACAAATAAGTACTATTAGTATTTCTAACAAAATAATTTAATTGAGTTGATTTAGTTAATTCTTAATTATAAAAAATTTTGATGGTTGATATGAATGAATTATACTTTGTTTATGCGACTAAAGAATTGTTGAGTCAACCATTGGATCAAACAACTATACAAATTTAGTTCGTACAATCAATTTTTTTTCTCAGTGTATGTAGATGAAGATATTTTAAAGCTCAAGGAGGCGCGCAAAAGTTAAAAATAAAAAAGAAACACCTTTTCTTTAAATGGACGATGAGGAAATACTTATTGGAACAATGCAAGAATACAGCACGATCCATTTGACAGCTTTGTACATCGGTAACTAATTAATGATTAATTAAATACGTCAATAAACGCGTTAAATGTTACAGACGAGGACGAGGTCTGTGCACGTTTATTTATAACGTTATATAATCAGACATTTACTTCAAATGTCACGCAGCTGACGATCGCAATTATGCAATTAATTGCCGACTTTATTCAAGCTCGTGACGAATACGTTCGCAAGTCTTTTTAACTCTTTCTCGCAACATTACAAAATCTTACCAACCGATCGGAGTCGTAATTACGATGGTGAATTAAACCTTAAGATCTTCGAATCCTCCTAGCGAAGACAGTTCAACATTCACGTCATTGGTAGTATCTATTTTTTTTTTTTTTTGCTAAACGTTCGCTGTGCACCGAGTGATCATATTAAATCACGACAAGGGACAATCTGTCTTCTCTTGGATTTGAAATGAGTTTTCAACGAGCGTTTAATCGACCGGATGATAAATCGCCGTAAGATGCGAGAAAAAAAAAGAACCTTCTGACGACGGAACACGACTATGTCGACTGATTGCCATGCCGACGACAGTGACTCACGGACGGTCGTATCTAGGCTCCTTTTGTTATAAAAAGATTCAACATACCATTGCGCGAAAGATTGCTACATCTCGTTGCACGGTGCCAACAACGTTCCGCGGCCGTGTCTCGTGGGTGTTCCAAGTACACGCGCTCGATCGCCCCATTCGTAGAAAAAAAAATCTTTGCGCTAATGCAATCCGATCGTAAGTCACACCCGGGCTGAGTGACAAAAGCGCGGTGCTTAATTCCATTAATGCGATAAAGTGTCTGGACGTCTTCAATCCCCCC